TTTCGCCTTTCCCTGTTTTCGACTACGCGCTTCGGCGTATGGCTTAGCGCAGCGCAGCGTAGCGGTGAATTCCGACTACAGCCCCAGTGAGGGGCGCGAATGTGCGGCCGATGCGTCCACCGGCACACCCCTCTTGCGCATCATGCCCCCATAGAGCTCCCACTACGAGGCCCCGCCTCAATCTTGAACACCCCTGGCACGCTTCGTGCCCCAGCACCAGGAGCCCAAGATACGGCCTCAGTGAAGCGCTCGATCCATCCCACAGTCCTAATTACAATTCCCTCCCTCCCTCGCACTTTCCCCCTCCCCCCGCTGTCTCCAGATTTGGAGGGACAATCACCCTGCGAGGGGTGGGCGATTGGGCGCCCCCCTGCGCATCCATGCGCCACATGTAATTGCAAAGTGTTGCGCCCTTCGCCAAAAGCGAAAAGGATGGTTATCTATCTTGAAATGCCGGCCCGTGCTCAACCAACATAATCCGCCACCGCGCCACTTGGGACGTTGAGGCGTGGTGGAATGTCACTGACTGCCTGGTAGGGTTTCTGGGGAAACCAAAAGGTACCGATACCGCCACTCCCCGGACCTTTCCCAGGGTGTGTTCTGACCAGGATTTCGAAGCGACTGCGAGGGCCTTCCAGGAGGCCCAAGAAGGGAAAAGCGAGGGAAGGTTAGACGTATGGGTCCCTCTTCCTGGGCATCGCTCGGACGTCCATTCCCTGTGTTTTGTTCGGTTTCGTGCGTGGCTTGTTCGCCAAATGATCAAGGATGCTCCTCGATGATCCTCGCCGAAGGAAAAATGCACACGTCCGAGCGATGCCAAGTTTCCTCCTCTGATGGCAGGGTCTCTGTAAGTCTTCCAAGAGCTCCCCCTAACGACCACCCCCCAGGTTCGCTGGGTGCCACGCCGCATGCCTGGTGCTTTCGAAGGCTGCCGACGGCCTCCAGGACGGACCAGGAACGTCACCAAGGCCGGCAAGATGGCCCCACACTGCCGCAGTTGGCAGCCGACAGCTCCCAAAAAGAACCCCCAAAGGCGCTAAAGGAGCCCCAAGAGCCCTCCAACACATCGAAGCGAATTCCAGTAAGGCCAAACTCATTCAACACACAAGGGCATCTATAGGCTTTTGCATATGTTGCGCTTCCGTGGCCGCCACCAGTCGCCGCCACGAAAAAACAGACGACAATCACCACGGAAGCAAAGGGCTCCGAGCCCCACTGCGCGCTGTGCAAGCGAATGAAGGGTCTGAATGCCATAGGAGCTGGCCACGGGCGGGGGGGGCCGGGACGGGCGGCAGGTGGGCATGGCCCCGGACCAGTGGGGAGAGGGCCACGGCCTGAGGAAAGGGCAGGCCGCGGGGCTAAGGATGGCAGCGGGGAGGGGGCGCGGAGCAGGTGGGCGTGGCCCCGGCCCAGGGGAGCAAGGACCACGGTCTGAGCGGGGCACGGCGGGAGGGGGGGGGCGAGGGCAAGCGACCACGGACGAAGGAGGACAGCGAGGCCCGAGCTCTGGAGAACAGCCGTGCTGGAGAATCAAGGCATCCAGAAGCCGCCCAGACGGCGCAGAGGATAGCGCCGAGGGAGCCCCAAATGCGGCTCAAGAGGGCTCCAAGAGTCCCGCGAGGGGCCCGAGATGGTCCAACACAGCATGGGGACGGCTCAAGATTGCCCCAAAGAGGGCCCAAAGAGGGGCTCAAGTTGTGGTCCAAAACAGCATCAGGACGGCTCAAAGCGGGCTCCAAGAGCCCCGCGAGGGGCCCGAGATGGTCCAAAACAGCATTATGACGGCTGAAGAGGGCCCCGAGAGGGGCAAAAGGGGGTCCCAAGATTGCCTCAACAGGATGCCCGAAGAGGGGGACCACATGAGCCCAACACAACGCCAAGACGGCCCAGGCAGCCGCCAATGAGACCTCCTGATGAGAAACGATCGGCGGCGAGCGAGGGGAGGAAGTGAGAGGGAAAGGCCTTCTCAGAAGGCGGCAGGGCTTCTCAGGAGCCTCCCGCCCTTCTGAGAAATGTTCAGTGTCTTCGGGGAAGGCTTGGGAACCTTCGCAGAAGGCCGGGGGACTTCCGAGCATTCTGAGAAGGCCCGCCCCTTCTCACTCCCCCCCTCCCCGCAGACTCGCCACGGAAACGAGAGGTGAGACACACCATGGCCTTTGGTGCTCGAAGTGTCGCCGTCCAGAACCCTGAACTGGCATGGGGGCGGGACTTGCTACAAGCACACGAATACTTCCAAAACTGCATGCGCACACTCTACCGCCAAGCCAGGTTGCTCTCGTGCGAATCCCGGCGGGGACCAGCTGGAGCAAAAAATGACAGCGGATGTCGGCAGTCGCGCTATAAACAACAGCCTGCACACTGGGGTCCATCGTCCTCGCAGCAGTTACCGGCTGAACACGCGCACCTTCGTGAGCGTGCGTAGTGTGGCAAACGATGAAAGTGCAGACTAACTGCACTGAAGTACACTCACTGGTCAATGAATAACTTGAACGGGTGGCAACTATCGCTTCACTGTTGACGTTGCTGCACTGGCGTTCATACATTCGACCACTGCTGCAGGTTTGATGCGAGGCGGCAAGAATGCGACTACATTTCCATCTCTGTATAATTGGCATGTGGCATAGATGCGCGAGCAGTGATAGGCTCGGCCCAGACGCCATCCGCAGTGTGCGCCATCACCGTCACGTCACCCAACCCGTGCTCTACGAGCAGCGACCGGGCCGATGCGAAGGGCGCATGTGCAACTCCGTACTGGTCCACCTGGAGGACGCAGTCGGGGAACTCGCCGGACTCGGCGCGGGCCCTGAGCAGCTCCGGCAGGAGCAGCGACACGGCATCCACCGTGCAGCCGTACTCCATGCCCTTGAGCTCGGCGACGGCATGGGTTACCAGCCTCGAACGTATCCCTATCCCTAAGATTGACACGCCAAAAGGCGATGACAATCCTAAGGATGCGCCATCAAAAAATAAGGGAATCCCTGAGATTGGCATCGTGATGGGGAGGTGCCCAGCATAGGGATAGGGATATGTTCCAGGCTGGTAATGGGTGCGCCCGCTGGGCCACCGCGCCGCCGCGGCGAAGAGCACGGGGAAGATGGCCTTCTGCTGTCCCTGCCGCCGGGCGCAGGCCAGCGCGGCAGCGTAGGCCGCGGCGAAGCGGGGCTCGGCCGGTGGCCCCACCTTCAGCTCGGAGGCTCGCGTCGTACCGCTGACTGGCCATCGCTCGGACGTCCATTCCCTGTGCTTTTTTTCGAGTTCGTGCGTGGACTCTTTCGCCAAATGATCAAGGATGCTCCTCGATGGTCCTCGCCGAAGGAAAAAGTGCACACGTCCGAGCGATGCCGAGATCGGCGACGGCGGCGTGGAGAAGATCGGGTTCCACACTGCGCCGCATCGCCGATGCACTGTCGACGGGGCGCGACTCTCCGACCTCGTCTGCCCGGGCCCCATCTGAGGGAGGCCTACAGTCAAAAACCCTAATAAGGACGCGCGGTAAGGACGCCCGACCCTCGGAAGCCGAAGTTGGGATTTTTAGGGCGGCGGACGACGAACACCCCAAGGACGCAAGAAGAAGGAAGAGCAAGGACGCAAGGGTACCCTGAGCAAAGTCGCGCGTCCTTATTAGGGTTTTTGACCGTAGATCCGAACACCGCAGAAGCACACACTTTCGGAGCTCCGCGCGGATTTCTCGGATCGGCGCCGGAGGCGCCGCCAAGGGGGGCCCCAGCGCAGAGCCAAGATCCTCGCGGAGCTCCGAACGTTCATGCTTCTGCGGGATTCTCTCATTCGACTGGTGGCCCCACCTTCGCCTCAAGGGCCCTTCGTAGAAGCCTGCCTCCAGGCCCCCCTGAGAAGCCTCATGGGGCCCCTCCGAGAAGGCCCCCGCCTTCGAGGTCCCCCGCCTCCCGAGAACGCCACCCCCCAGCGCGCTATCCCCCTGCGCGCCGCCGACCGCCTTCGCCTCCAGGGACTCCCCCAGGGCCTTCATCTCGTCCTGGGGCGACGAGACCCGTCTCTACACATCCACCGCCGCTGGCCAGGCTTAAGTCGGGCCTGTCCCTCCCAGGAGGAATATTCAAAAATAGTAGCAGAAACAGTCTGGGGACAACTTTTTGATCATTTTTGAACATTTTGGGTGCATATCTGGAGCATTTTTTATTTTTCGTCCAAGATCCCCCTGTATCGGCAGTGGGCAAACCTCCCTTTAGTAAACCTCCCTTTAATGAAAACGGCCTAGCACCGAAACCGACGGACCTGGACCCGCAAAAAGGACGGCCGCGACGCCCCCTCGCGAACCGAAAACGGCCAATTCCTCAATCGACGTGTCAGGGTGGGAGGTCTGTCCACCTCCGAATCTAAGGCCAGGCCCGTCCTCGGTCGGGCATGTCCCTCTCAGGAATAATATTCAAAAATAGTTTTTGTTTAACAATAATCTTGGGACGATTGTTTGACCATGTTTGAGCATTTTAGTTGGTATGTTTCGAATATACTTAATTTGTCGTCCAGAATCCCCCTGTATGGGGGACAGGCCCGACCTAAGGCCAGGCCCGTCCTGGGTCCGGGAGCGGTGTGCACGCCCCCCGAGACGCGGCCAGGCGGGCGCACGTGAGGGACACCGGCAATATTGCACGAGCGTGCAAAGCTCGGAGCTCCGCGCGGACTCCTCGGATCGGCGCTCGGCCCCCTCTGAGTACCTGCCAGAGCACCCCAACCCAGCCCGAAAACCTGAATTTCGGGTTGGGGGGCGGGTAGGGGTTACACACGTGCTCTGTCGATGTTTCCCGACCGCCCCCCACTGGAAATCGAAGGTAAATCTGAGCCTTCGGGTTGGGTTGGGGTGGTTTGGTGGGTGGTGACCCTCCCTGGCGCGCGGAGCGCGCCAGGGGCGGCGCCGGAGGCGCCAGCAGAAGGGTTCCAGCGCAGATCCAAGAAATCCGCGCGGAGCTCCAGAAATTCATGTTTACGCAGCGTTGTCTCCTTCGCGGCATCTGCGCCGATTCTGGGCCCAGGATGGGCCTGACCAGCGGCGGTGGATAACCCCACGCCCCCGAGAGCAGGCCTACCTCCCCCCCCTGCTCTAGGCTCCTAGCTTCACCCCTGTGTCACGATTATGCTTGAGTCGGGCGTGTCCTCCTACGGGGGGATTTTGGGCGAAAAAGAGAAATACTCAAAAAGTACCCTCCAAATGCTCAAAAATAGTCAAACAATCGTTCCCAGACTATTTTTGAACTATTCTTGAACTTTCCCCCTGTAGAGGGACACGCCCGACTTAAGATTATGCTGGTCGCAAGCGCTATTGTTCTTGAGTGGGGGGCGGCGAGGCCGACCGCGGCAAGCACCAATCGTAGATGCAGTTTCCTATGCTGAAGGGGCCCAGGGACACACACACACACATACATATATATATATATATATATAACAGGATTCCCCATAGTTTCCTGTATTGTTTAAAGGGTTTTTTGTCTCCCCCTCCTTCCCAGATGTTCCCATATTCTCTGGAGTATCGACGATTAGTTGTGTCTGTGTGTTGTTCCCCCTCCTGAATTATGCTGGTCGCGAGCACTATTGTTCTTCAGTGGGGGGCGGCGAGGCCGACCGCGGCAAGTACCAATCGTAGATACAGCTTCCTATGTGTAGATCAGGAGGGAAAGAACCACACAGACACAATTCATCGCCAACTCCCAGGAAACTGTGGGAAAATATGGTAGGTGGTGGGGACGCGAAATCCTAGAGCATAAGGGAAAATAGGGGGAATCCTGTTATTCTTTGTGTGTATTTGGTTGTGTGTCCCTGGGCCCCTTTGAGTGGATCTCATCGCGCCACGTCCTGGCCCCTCCTGCAGTATGCCGAGGGGAGCGGCAGCAGCTCGCGCAGCGGCTCGGTGACGAGGGCCTCCGGCTCGGCGCTGCCGGAGACGACCACCTGGCTGGACAGCGACCGTAGGGGGGGGGGGGCCCTACGTCTTGGCCTTCTGTCGGGCCTGTCCCCCTACAGGGGGATTTTGGACGAAAAATAACAAATCCTCCAAAACTACTCAAAAGATGCTCCAAACCCAGACTGTTAATTTACTTCGGAACAGCCCCCCTGTAGAGGGGCACGCCCGACCTAATCTTGGCCCCTCCCCATACCCAAGCATCCGACGCTCCAACAAGAAGTGGAGCGGGCGGTTTGTGGCTGTTTGCGGCATCAGGGGGCCCTCGCCGGGCCCCAGGGCCGTCCAAAAACGACTCGGGGCGACACAAACTGGCCCTGGGGAAGTTGCCCAGACCTCCAGGGCCCACGCATCGAACAAATTGGAGTAGCCGGATGTCGAGGTACGTCCCCTCGCCACTGCCCCATCCATCTGTCCCCCTTCCATCTCTCCTTCCCTCTCCCCCTCCCCCGCCCTGTTCGCCCCCGTCCCTCTCCATCGTCGCCCTCCCTCCCTCCCTCCTTTTGCCGTCGCTCGGACGTCCCTTCCCTGTGTTTTTGTCGGTTTCGTGCGTGTTTTTTTCGCCCAATGATCGAGGATGCTCCTCGATGGTCCTCGCCGAAGGAAAAATGCACACGTCCGAGCGATGCCAAGCCATTCCCCCCTCGCAGGCTCGAGTATACTATAACGGGGGACCGGCGCAGGGTGGGAAGCATCGACCTGGAAGCGGCGATGCATCGCCGATAAACCCGCGATGGGCCCCGAATAGCAAATCCGCCTGCTCATGAGGGTGGGGCTATCGGGCTCCACATCGGCGATGAGTGGGCGATTGGGGGTCGACGCGTCCCCCCCTGAGCCTGTCCCAAGACGAGGCCAGGGCGAAGAGAACATCGGTCGAGCATACATCGAGAATCTCTGCGATCCGGCGGCTCTGGAAGATGTCGCGGGCACCGCGGCCTTCTCAGAGCGTTGCGGAACGCTCTCAGAGCGCTCCAGAACGCTCTGGAGCGGAGCTATCCTCGTCCTAGCCCCGTCCGTCAACAGTCGATGTGGACTGCGAAGCGGGGACGTGTCCAGAACCACCGCCTGTGGGATCGATCTTCGGAAACCTCGGCAGGCCGCGGCTGTGGACGTATCTGGCCCCCCAGGGCCCGAATATAGTCATACCCATCGCCTGCTGAGGTGCCCAAAGATCGATGGCACAGGCGGTGGTTATGGATATCTCCACGCCTCGGCTGGACCGTTCCCCAAGATCGACGCCACTGACTGCTCTGGTCCCCCCCCTGACGTTATGTCGGGCGTGTCCCCCTACCGGGGGGTTTTCGACGAAAAATAAAACATATCCCGAAAATATGTCAAAAAGCTCAAAAAATACACCAAAAATACTCCCCTGACTATTTTTGGAATATTTTTTGAATATTCTTGAGTATTTTCTATTTTTCGTCGAAAATCCCCCTGTAGGGGGAAAGGCCCGACATAACCCGAACGTTGCCCCTGACCACCTCCGTCTCGGGGGCGCAGGTGGCCACCAGGAACTCCCGGCAGCAGGGCCCGGGGAAAATCGGCTGGGGCCGGAGCCGGCTGGGGGACTGGCGGCACACCAGGCAGGTAAAGATACGGCTGCACAGCGCAGGGCGGAGCCTAAACGGTGTTTTTCGTTGTCGTTTTTCGTTTTCGTTTTGTTTTTGTTTCTTGTTTTCGTATTGTTTTCGTCTTCGTTTTCGTTCTCGTTTTCGCTTCAATCCGCCTTTCCCGCAAAACGAAATCGAAAGGAAAACGGCCCACGAAATCGCCGAAACACCGTTTGGGTCCAGCTCTGCGGCTGCACACCGGGCAGGGAAGACCCGTGCACATCGATTGGAAACAGGCTGCAGAAACATTCAGCACGAAAATGCTTCGAGCTGGATGCACTTCGGCCCCCCCTCCCCCGAAAATGGAACGAGAACGGAATGACCTTTGCTGTCTTCAAAAAAGGAGTTGGACGAGCGCTGGGAGATGAAGAATGCCCTGCGTCGAAAGGCGCACGCAGGGGCGCTGGGCCACGCGAGGAGTTGGAGCCCTGCCGCGCAGCGGTCCAGTGGTTGTCCCTGCTGCGGGCCCTGGGACCCTCGCAGATCGGCGCGGCTCGAAACATGCCGCGGACGGGTGGGGTCCAGGGCTCGTGACTGTTCGCGATGTGGCAACTTTTTCGCCACGTCGGACCTCAATCGGGTCGGGCGAAAGGGGGGGATAGCAACGGGGGGGTTTGAGAATCAGCTCACGTAGCTGCTTTTCCCGGCGCCTCCCGGCGCCGGGAGGCGCCCATGTATCGAGGAATGGGCCCCTCGGTGGGGCCGAAACCAGCTGCATGCAGCAAATTTCGTGGCCCCCCCTTTCCCAATCCCCCCTTTCGTCTGGCCCGAGCGGTGCAGGGGGGAGCGCTCTGGCCTGAGCTGGAGCGAGCCCAAATTGCTGCACCATCGCCGAGCGCCCCCACATCACCGCGGCCGTGCCGCGTCCGAAGAAGAGGCCCCCCCTTTCCCAATCCCCCCCTTGCGCCCGGCCCGACTCAAAGGCTGCGGCGGCCCGGCACAGGCTGCTCCGGTCCGCACAGGGGGGGACGGAGAGAGGAGCCCCCGCGTGGCCACGGCCCGACGCGGCTCGAAGCGCTTCGTCGTCTTCAGCCGAGGAAGGTCGTTGGGGGCCCATTCTTGAAGGGGACCTGGGACACGGAAATAAATACACACAAATGAGAAGATCACCCAGCTTTTCCCATATCTTATGGGGTTCTGTCTTCCCCCCCCCGCTTCCCGTATTTTCCAATATTTTCCTGGGAGTGGACGAGTAGTTGTGCCTGTGTGCTTCTTTCCCTCCTGAATTCTGAGCGGAGTTGCCCCAGTCCCCCCCCCCTCCAATCCTCTCTGGGCCCATCCAGCTCAGACCCCCTGGTGCCCAAAAAACACATATCCGCACCCCTGGCCTCGCCAGCCGGGCACCTGGGCCGCGGCCCCCTGGGTACGAAGCGCTGTTGTCGCGGATGCCCCGCGCGGAGCATTTGCATGGGACCGCGTACTCCAGATTTCGTAATAAAAGGGAGGGGGTCTGGACCCTCCAAGACAAGCCATTTCAGACCTCCCCCGTGGGAGAACCCTCCAAAACATCGTCCCCAGACCCCCCCAAGCCCTCCAAGATAGCCTGGAAGAGACCCCCCCCCGAAATGAGACCCCCATTACGAAATCTGGAGTGCCCGCGGGATCTTTGTCGCTGCTCCCCGGGATCGTGCCCCAGAACCCGCGGGGGAGGAGGAGGAGGAGGAAGAGGAGGAGGAAGAGGAGGAAGAGGAGGAGGAGGAGGAGGAGGAGGAACAGCAGGAGCAGGAGGAGCAGGAGGAGGGGTCGTGCCCCAGAACCCAGACCGCGAGAGGGCGCGGATGCGGATAGTGCGGGGACAGCAGGCGGCCACAGCCACATCGAGGCCACGCCCAGGGGGGATGTCTTGCGCATGCCAAGACTTACCAGTCTCGAACGTATCCCTATCCCTAAGACTGACACGCCAAATGGCGATGACAATCTTAGGGATTTGCCCTCAAAGAATAAGGGAATCCCTAAGATTGGCATCGTGATGAGGAGATGCCCAGCATAGGGATAGGGATATGTTCCAGGCTGGTAACAGACTGTCGGAACACCGAAACCAGCTTCGTACTGGCTGTGGTCGATGTGGTCCCAGGACGGCCAAATCGACCACAACCACAACCAAAGTGCTCGTGTCGAGGCCAGTGAATTCTCCCCCCAAGGGACCTCCAGAACAAAACCCCTACAGGGGGATTTTTAGGACGAAAAAAAAGGACACTCGCAACAAATACTCAAACATTCCTACAAGTACTCAACAAATAGTACCCATAATCCAATAGCCCTTATAACTGCGACGAGGCGACGATCGAAAGCAGTGCCCCGGCACTGCTTTGAACGCGTTCAAAGCAGTGCCCCGGCACTGCTTTGAACGTATGATATGATGATATGATGATGATTATGATTGATGATGATGATGATTTTTCCAGCGTACACTGTCCGCAACTGCGGCAATCAACATCATGCTCCACTTGCCCGCAACTGCGGCCATCACCAACGCTGCCCCTCGAAGCTCCACGGAGGGCGCTCGGCAGGTCGCCCGCTCGAGCCCCACTCGACTTCACGCTGAGGAGGCGAGCCCTCAGGGGCATTGTCCGCAACTGCGGCATGATCAGAGGGCCACCACTGCGCGCCATCAGCGCCCCATTCGCTCGAGCTCCAGTCCCACCAGGACCAGCCCTGCCATCTCGTGGCGGGACTGCGCGCCTCCCATGCGCCGCTGCCGCTGGCGTCCCAGGACCCAGCCGCCACTGCGGCACAAGAAGGGGTCGCATCGTCGCCGTTGGCAGCTTGCGGCGGTGGCGTGTTCCCAGCTCGCTCAGCCCCAGCGTCTCTCCCCGCAACTGCGGTTCCCATCTGGGGTCGGACGCCCTTCCCCGCAACTGCGGTGTCCGCGTAGCTGCCCTTCTTGCCGCCCTTCTTGCCGCCCTTCCTGCCGCCCTTCCTGCGTTCCAACCTCGCGGCGAGTCTTTCAGGTGACCTGCGGCACGTATTGTGCGTGAAAGCCACCAGAGGGAAGTGCGCTCCGTGCCTCGCCCTGCCGAAGGCGCCATGCCATATCTTGTCGTCGAGGTTGCCCTGCTTCACTCTGAAGGGATGGCGCACCCAATCGTCGCGTTCCCTGCGCGCCATCCTTTGCTCGAACTCCGCAACTGCGGTCAAGGATTCGCCAGATGGCGTCAGGAAGGCGCGCATCTTGTTTTCAACGGGCTCAGCCTTGGGCACGTAAGTCTGAAGCATCTTCCCAGGGCCATTCGTGTAGTCGAAGACAGGGAAAGACGGATCATGCTGGGTCGTCAAGAATCCGCCCTCACGGTCGTGCAGAACACCCAGGCCATGGTGAAGCTTGTACTGCCCAGGACAGTTTATGAACAAAATCGCCATGCTGTCTGCCCTGGGCTGGCCGCCTGCTGTCTTCCAGGGGGTCCACGCGGCGACGTCCACAGTCAGGCCGCAATTGCGGCACCAGGACACAAGCTGGAACATGCACATGTTGAAGTCCCCCATGCAGACCTTCACGTCCCATTCCCTGACGTAGGCGACGAACCAGTTGTAGAACTCATGGAGCTTCGTGACGCCCCAGTCTTGGTTGGCCAAGCTGTGGTGGACGTGCACCGCCATGACGTTGAAGGAGCCCCCCAAATGGGGCACGGCCTGGTCCAGGTGGACGCGCACCACCATCGCCCTGGAGTACTTGTTGTGCAGCTTTGGCGCAGGAGCCTCCGCAACTGCGGACTGTTTCTTCTTCTTCTTCGTTTTGGACTTCTCCTGCTTGTGGAAGAGTCTCGCAAAGTCTACGTGTTCAATGTGGCCGCCACTGCGGTCCCTCATGCCAACAAGGAGGGTCCCTGATGGCTCGCCGCCCTTAACGCACAGGTAGTTGTATTGAGTCCGACTCCGAAACCTATCGTCCGCAACTGCGGCTGCACTGTCCCTCGCGTCGTGCTCCCCACTGAGTACCGCGCAGGTCTCGTCGTCGCACTCGCAGAGGGCGATGATCTGGGCAGGGTTCGCGCGGAGCTGCGCCCACTCGTCCGCGCGTTGCGTGGGTCTAGCTGCAGTCCCTCCGAAGTTGGCCACGTAGAAGCCGACCCGTCCCGCTTCGAACTCCGTTTTCTCCTCCCATGCGTCGACAAGAGCTCTTTGTTTTTCCGACAGATTGCTTGTCTCGATGATGGGCACCCGTTTCCAGGGTCTCCGCGACGACAACACTCTCGGCATGTAGGAGTCATGTGCTGCCGCAACTGCGGCTCCCGCACCTCCCCGGGACTCAGCCTCGTCAGCGGAGGCAGCCGAGGACGCGACGGTGCTGTCGCCATCTTGCGTCCGCTGGTCGTCGTCATCATCCGCAACTGCGGCTTCCTCGTCTTTGCCTCCCTCCTCCTCCTCAGCGTTGTGGATGAACACCGTTCTGGCGAATCGAGGTCCACGGTCCATACTCCCTGAGGATGCGCTCGGGCGCGCGGGCGGCCACATGCTTGCGTCTTCGCGTGCGCCACCTCGAGCCACGGTGGCTACGGAAATGGATCGTGAATGGGCATGGGGTCGGATGGAGGGAGGAGACAAAGAGGATTCGAGGAGTGGCAGAAGGAGGGCGAGGACTCAAAGGAACCGAAAGAACAACAAATGGACTGGCGGAGAAGCAGAAGGAGGGCGACGATTGCAAGGGACTGTGATAGGATTATTTTCACAGCAGCAGGAAGACCGCAACTGCGGTTTTGCCTCATCTCCTGCCCGCGCGGGAGCCGCTTGGAAAAACAACTTCCCTCTGGACTTCCTGTGGGTCCGCAACTGCGGCCTGCATCACGCTAGGGCTGGGATTACCAGCGCCATTTGCCCTCCCAGGGTTCTCACTGTTTCCGAATGCACGAACTGCGACAGCGCCGAACGGTTCCCAGACGCCGCGTCGTTCGCGACTTTTTGCAGCCACCCAGCAAACGTGAGCGGCCATTGCTCCTTGTGCTGCTTGCACATCTCCTCGT